ATATCGTGAAACAAATGGGTGAAGACCCGCCGACCGCCTGGTTGTCCGATGGTGAAAAGGAGAGGGAGGAATTAAAGCAGATGTTCTATTAGTAATGTTGCTGCAGATATGTTTAATTTCCTATGACATCAATTTTAAAGCTGTTTAAGATGGGAAGAAAACATGTTTTGTTTTATTTTTTTTTGTTAAGGTAAACTGTTATATTGTGAATTATGAATATACAAGAGACTTGAAGTTGTAAAAGAAATAGTTCTGCGATTGATTTACAGCAATCACAAAGAGATCTGAACCCCGTGAACTAAGGATGAATTTGGCAAGAGTACTTGATTCTGATAAGCCAGAGACATCTAAAGATGAAGCTGAGGAAGTCAAGACACGAAAGACTTGTCTATCATGTCAACCTAAACTGAAAAGTAAATCGATATATAGATGCTATTCGTGCAAAAAACACATTTGTTTACAGTGCGCGAAGCAAGTGTGCCCTGTGTTTAGATTTTAAGGTGCAGTTGGACTGTGGTCATTATTTTCCAGAAGGTTTATGTTCCTAATATTTTTATAAAAGTTATATAAGTCATAAGTAAGAAATACTATTTTTGTTATTCTGAGAAGATATTCAAGACAAATATTATTGTAGTCTTATATTTAAAAATTCAATAAAGTTGAATTTCTTTTTATACTTATTTTTACTTGAAACCCCTTATTTTTCATCATAATGCAAAGACGAATATTTAAATCATCACTTTCTTTAAAAAACACTACATAATATACACGGTCTCTCAGGCCTCACGTCGGTACTAACGTTACACAAAATGCACGTCGGTACTTAGAGGTTAATATCACATTATTTGCCGATCAATTTAGTTATTTTTGCCGACCACTAGGGGCAGATCAATTCACTTTGTTTATTGAGAAAATACATTTTGGCGCCGACCAAAACTTCTTTAATTAGATGGCCGTTTAAATGATTTTCATGATCAAGATAAACTAAATTAGCATTTTTTAATAACGTTTTTAAAATAATAACATTTTCTAGCAATGAAGTAAATGTAATGTCAATAAGTTAACGGTCTACGAGTACAATACAATCTGTCCTATGTCCTAATTGCGAGAAATAATAACAGAGTCGCATGATCTGTTAAAATATCAACATTGGTCATGTTTATACACAACAAGTTGATACAGCAATCTGTATGTTATGTTTCATCGCCATTACTATTGATTTATAATGTAAGACAATAACAAAAATTTACGAGTGATGATAACGTGCGTGTGGAACAAATTGCTATAAAACGATAATAACACTACTTTTTTATCTGGAGCTTTATCAAGCTTTATTGCTCTGCCATATGACTTCTCTTATCTTTTACAAATTGGTACAACAGCTCCGATAAGATTCTTCAGTACCGAGTTCTTACACGACTGCCCCAGAGAAGGGAGGAGGAAAAACATTTTTGGAGCGTTTTTACGTAATATGTCTACTTCTTTGGCACGCGCTGCAACCTAAACTGCTTGATGGGTTTTAACATGTTATATAACGTACATTAGATTCATCTTTTCAATTTATACAGCTCGTTGAAAGTAAAATTACCGCGGTTCTATCATTTAAAAAAAATTTGCTTATTTCAATGTAAAATATGCTCATAGACGGTAGTATTTAATAAGTTTAAATACGTCTATTATTTTAAAGAAATTTTGACTTGATTTACTTGATTTTTTAAATAAAGTTTTTGACATATTAGTCCTATTGTATGTTAACTTCTTGGGAGATTTTACATGTAGCTTACTAAATTGTGTCAATAATATAATTTTAATAATTTTAATAATATAGGAGAAGCGTATTGGACACTTATGAATATAAGCATTTTGGAGCGTTAATGTACATACATTTTAGCCACAACATATGCATATTTAAATGTATTTTGCAACCATTTCATTAGTCTAATTAAAATGTAAGCAACACTAAAGATACTACAGCCCCGATAATGATATTATCAATTAATGTTTTCTTCAGTATTATAACTATTTCTTCACGAAAATTTTAAACCTATTGATTAATAGATCCTGAATATTTTCTGGGAGTAAGTTGTAAAATCGTATTTATTGCCCTATGAAGAAATTACTGACTCTTTGGAGTCGGATAACTGATATCACTAACTTGTGGTTGTTTCCAGTATTAACAGAATGTACGCAATCTATACAAATAAATAAAATCGGTGTGTCTGTTTGTAACGTCAAAATAACAGCTTTTCACTAAATGCATAAGAAAGTTTATATGGTACTTATAATAAAAACACAATTTTTAAAATTTTTGTCTGTTTAACTGTCTGTCTGTTTGTTCCGGCTAATCTCCGAAACGACTGGACCGATTTTGATGAGACTTTCACTAGCAGAGAACTGATGTTATAGGGAGTAACTTAGGTTAGGTACTTTTGTTTTAGAAAAATAATTAGGGTTCCGCGCAAATAATTAAAAACCTAAATTACACGCGGGCGAAGTCGCGGGGAAACGCTAGTCTTAAATAAATCTATATTTGTTTTTGTATACATTTCTACATAAAATTTTCATAAATATACTGAGTCGCTTAAGTTTATACATTTATTTCTTTAAATATGTCTGTAAGAGATTCACTTGTGCAAAACAAATATAGTTTCAATGTCAGTCGCATTACCCCGTAGCAAAATTCCATACAACACTATGCTATGGGAATAACTAAATAATCTAATATATCTGTCAACTGTGATTTCTAAAAAATGTGGATTCTACAAAAGCAAATATCGGCGTTAAGCCGATGTACTTATTATGATATAGTTTTATTCTATAGTCTGAGGTCCAGGTATAAAAGTCAACGAAGTATCATGAGCAAAAAAATATATTTATTATATCATCACGAAGTAGCATAAAACAAATTCATTAAGTTGCGTCTGTCTGTATCTGCTTAAAATTCTAAAAGTACTTTTTGGAATTTGATGCTATTTTAATCAAAATTCAATGCATATTTTGAAAAAGGTTCACTCAAGCATATTTGCTCCAAGGATGAAAGGAAACGCTAGCGCATTGTGGTTGGAAAGATAACATCATACTGGTGAATTACACGTTTTCGAAACCTAGCCGATACCTTAAGAAATCGAAATTCGCATTACTTTTAGCGTGTAGTGGCGATCTAACAATATCAACTTCCCTATATCGTGTCGTAGATGTCATAAAAGGCCACAGAGGGAAACTGGGAAGATGGGCAGCAGCATTTTGCTGATAGCAGCACAAAATAAAAAACCGCGTTCCATAGGTGGCAACTATGGTAAAATCTACTCAACGAGCCAATTTATAGGGGAAGTCTATGTGTTCAAGGAGGCCAAGAAGCCTTTCGCGACACTAACTTTTACTTAATCTACTTCTACTAACTATTTGTTAAAACAAAAGTGTACAACCAATGCGTGTTGCTAGTTGACATATGGAACTAACACCTGGTCCTTCACTGTTGGCCGCATGAGAGAGCTTTAGGTCGCTTAGCCAGCTATGACAAGGTATGAGAGTACTTTGCTCGGAGTATCTAGAATCCGTAATTAGCTTTATAATATATGCTATGTGGCATCCTCTGCCATTGAACCCAGTATATATATATATATATATATATATATATATATATATATATATATATATATATATATATATATATATATATATATATGTGTGTGTGTAAAAACTAGGAGGAGGACAGAGCCAAAAAAATAGCAAAAAAACATTGGCAAACACTGCCAACAATTGTCTTTGGCACCCAGGGTTGAATGGCAGAGAATCCCACAGAGCATTAAGTCCGCCCTATGTAGCGAAATAAAACATTATAATCCCATAGCTGATTATAATATGTTAAATAAAGAAGTTTCCATTATTTTGTTATGAGCCATTTATAAGCAAATGGAGGCAGCGTTTAAAAAGGTGAATACCTTTTCTGCGATGGTCAATTTTAATTTAAAATAAAAAAATAACAAAAGTGTTTAGCAGGTTTTTACACATACCAATTTTCTTTACTGTTTTGAACGGTACCTCTACCACACGATTGGATAATTATGGGTGGAATCTTTCGTAGTTAATTATCTACAACATCATTATGGTCTATCGACATTTTATCTTATTATCAGTAACATCTAAATAGAATTAATGGTCTCATCATAAAATGTTTGGTATAAATTTTCGCGCCAATAGAAGTCATTTATCTTTAAACGAAATTATTTTTTCATAGATAGATATTTAATACACAAATATCTTTTTTTTTGAAAATAATTTTCTAAGGCCATTTATTGTATGAATTATCCATTGCAATGTTTTTCTGATTGATAGCCTAGATCACAGGTTCAGCCATTCCGAAAATTAGTCCAAACAGACAGAATGACAGACTGACACTAATTAAAAAAAAAATGTTATTTTAAGTCTTAATGGCATGCGAATAAAAGGCTAAATAAATCTATTAAAAAATTAATATTTTTTTGGCAGATCATTATATGTACTGAAATTTTTCTTTTTTAATAATTTCACTTGATTCACTTAACACTTTTAGAGAATTAATTTTTGCTTAACATTTTTGACACAATAATGATTTAATTAATACAATTAAATCGGTAATGCGAGTTTACGTGTGAAATAAGAAAATATTTAATTTGCGGCTAAAGGTAATTATGTTGTTTAATACGTTGTACAAAAAAATTTAGTAGATAATAAATATTTTCGCAGACGCAAGTTTACGTGTTACTAAATATTTTTTAACCCAAACTCATTTTGACGATACTTTTCTTGAAATATATGATTCACTACTTTAGTTTATATTACAAAAAATACAGTTAAACTGTAATTATTACAGAATAATAAAATTGATATTTAAAGCGATTATTATGCAATTCGCAAATATAAGCTGTAATGTACACAATATATTTGAAAAATAAAAACAGTTCTAGACATAAATAAAATATAAACATATCAGGCGACAGCTCCTTTTAAATTTTATTTACCTGATCTGGCGGCGATGCAGAAATAGCTTGTTCCTCGACTAAGCGGTTTGGCACTTCCATCATTCCCTCGACGTTAAACAACAAAAACAAAAGGGGCAATACTTGTAACCGCAACGCGGTCGCTTGTTATGATGTGATCGCGAGCGGCAGTTCGACGCTTTTATGTCAGTCTGTGACGTCTAAAACACCCAACGCCGTGATAAATGGATATGGCATTGCCATATTATTGCTGCTTGGAATTCAAAACCTTACACCATAATTATTACGAATAATCAAGGAATTAAAATAAATGTTTTCTTTTTACGCGCACACTACAAATTTCAATAAAACTAGTTTTTACGTATTTTTTCGTGTATATTTAATTTATTTTATATTCCCCCCGAAGTTTCTAGCACTTCACAACACGCATGTCACTTGCTAACTTAAGATTAAAATTATTAATTGTTGGTCCGATCTATGCATATGAACTTAAAGTATCTTGAAGTCTTGCAGTTGTATGGAATTTGGATTTAATTTTATTAATGATAGGATGCCCATTATCTGCGGGCCTACCATCTAACCTATCCATCTTCTCTATTGCAATTGAGATGTTTTTATTTTATTTCAATAGCCTTGTAAAATTATCCTTGGGAGTAATCGGTGTCCTTTAGCTAGGCTTTGCATCTCAATTGTAACTAGAAGGCTGCATGCCCGTAGAATATACAGTATTACTCAGGCACTGCATTATATCTGGCTACCTATTACGGAAGGAAGAGTTCTACAAGTAAGTAGATGGTGTGGCGATATGTCCATCTATATCTCCCATTGTCGCCGATATATTCATGGAGGACTTTGAGGAAAAAGCCTTTCTTACTTCTCCTGTAAATCCAAATTTCTACAAGTAAAGTGCTCGAAATGACGCAACGGTGGAATATAAAATAAGTTGTTATTATACGCGATAAAATTCGTAAAAATTAGTTTTATTTTAATTAAAATAAAGTCAAAATATATATATACAGCAATGTCATACAACACTTTTTCAATGCGTAAAAGTCCAAACGCACACCTCCGTTACACTCGGCAAGAGAATTGACAATCGCAATACCAGTCGTGTCACACTCTTGAAGCTAACTACTAATGGCTGGTGTTGATATTATAAGGCTTGCGTGTACGAGGATGTTATACTGCCATTTATCGAAAGACATAAGAGCTTACTGACGTTTGCCATAGTCGAGTCTTACTCTTACCCTTGGAACGGTGATAGGTGATGGATTCTGTTACGCCACCACCTCCCGGCAACATACAATCAATTACTATAGTAAAACTATAACACGATGTCTGTCTGAACACGCATCACGCAAAACCTGTGAATCGATTTGGATGGGACTTTCACTAGCATATAGCTGATGTTATAAGAAGTAACTTAGGCTACTTTACAAAAAAAATTAAAACTCTTGAATTGCAATCGCAATAAATTCCACGATCGCGAAGTCGCCGGGAACGGCTAGTACTTAAATATAACTAAGCTGTTCTTTTGGAAAATTGTAGTTTTATTTTTTCAAGCATCTAATTAAAATAGATCCCGCCTGAAACAAACATTCAGAGGGGACTAAATTAGGTACAACCGAATTTTTGGGATTATCAGATTAGCCAAGAAAAGCGTTGAGCACTGAACAGATGTCAAGTTTTCATAGAAATTATTTTAATAAAATTACAATTAAATTGAACTGACTTAAGAAAATATTTATACAATCTTTAATAACGAATTTTTAGTGACTATTAAAACATTTAATAGTCAGTAAGTTACGTTAATGGAGATGATACTTAATGTAATTATAAATTTCCTTTTATTTGTTCTATTTTACATTATAAGTAGCTTTTACCCGCGACTTCGTCTGCGTAGAACTTAAATAGAAAAAAAAAACAGCAGATTTATAATATTTTGGTTTTGGGCAAGTAAGTAGTTAAACTAAGTCGATAATCCACTTTTACTCAATTTTTTCTATTACCTCGAAAATTGCTTGCGTAAATAACGTGTATAAATTAGATCTGAATCTGAATAAGAGAGAGAGAAATTCTGTGATAATAGAAAACTGTGGTTTGCAAGATGATGTCGTGACCAGGATTAAGAAAGGAATGCTTCGGTGGTTTGGTCATGTAAGAAGAATGAACGAAGATAGAGTGACAACGCAAGTCTATTTTACAAATATGAACGGCAGAGTCGGGACACCCTAGAGGAAAATTTATCCACCACATTGGCGATATATATTCATAATGGGCCAAATTACGGGTACCCTTAACATGGATAATAGAGGCGAGAGAGGTGGGTTAGGATCGTGCCAAATGCAAGTTCGTAGGCTCTACCTACCCCTCTGGGTGACTAAGTATTATGCATGTAATTAGTGGGTATTATGTATGTAATTAAGTGCGATATCGGAACACTTAAAATAAAAATTGAAGATCTATTATTCACGTAAAAAAGGTCTTCCCTCTTTATTCTTTGAAACTCATAATTTTGTTTCAAATTTAAGTTTTCAATTTTATAGAAGGTTCTTATCTTTTTTGCAATAAATTAATGCGTTCTAAACTTTTCTTTGGATAACCCATATTTTTAAGATTAAATTTATTTTTATTTTATTCGATCGGTTTTACGATTTCACAAAATACCCCAAAGCTTAGATCACTTTTGGGGTTGCTATCTGCTAGCTCGTTAAGTTTTATTACAGTCGGTTAAGCCATTTCGAAGATTAGCAGACCGACACACAAAATGTATTAAAAATAGTTTTTTATATAGTTTGATATAGATTTTTCTTTCGGCATAATATATCAAAATCCTATACAGTTGATCTCATTGCTGGTCTAAGACCTCAATATACATAGTCAATTCATTTATATGAAATAACATACCACATCTAAATTTTAGTGTGCTCTCATATTTCTTACATCTCCTGACTTGATAAAAGCCCGTTCAATGCAATACAATGTTCGAGTTACGTATACTATTTTTTATTGCTATTAATGAATTTCAAGGTCAGACAAGATTTTTTATAAGGCTAATACTGTAGCAATTTTATACATTTTTGTTTATAATATACTCCTGCAATTATCTACATCATAAACTTAAATTATCTTATCTTTTGTTCTCGTATTAAAATACTATAAACACATCTACCTATTTATTCTTAATTGATGATAAACGTAAGTTTCTATGGGCCATATCATCTACTTTAAATCAAACTAGAGCTGTCATCACCTTTACCGATTGCGGACAAAAACTTCAAATACCCGAACATTTGGTAAAAATCGTGATATTTCCCCGGACAAAATGAATTTTTACAACAAAAATAACGTGTAATATCGCGGCGGTCATTTGGCTGAACCTTCATGAAGGTACGTCTCCGCATAAAACTTAAAGCAATGTAATCCTTTTGAATTACCCATCTGATTAAAAAGTGGTAATTAATGCAATATTTTCGTTAAATTTTTTTACACTTTTAGTAGAGTACGCGAATTTTTAAGAGGAGATATTAAATAAATGAATAATAGAAAACTTTTTTAAGAACAAGCATTTATTTAAATGTTCTAAAAAGAAGAAAATAAACTTTAAAACATTCAGACCCATTAATTTATTACATTACACAATTTACATGATATAAAAACTTATCTCGATGTTTTATTAAAAAAACATTATTTTTTGTTAGAATTGCCTACTTACATTTATGTCAATAGCAAGTTACATACTCGTATTGTATTCTTATTTATGTAGGTAGGTAAGCTACACGGATAAATCTCGCGTCAAGCTTTTATATCATATAAATTGTGTAATGTAATAAATTAATGGGTCTGAATTATTTTAAAGTTTATTTTCTTCTTCTTAGAACATTTAAATAAATGCTTGTTCTTAAAAAAATTCTACTATTAATTTATTTAATATCTCCTCTTAAAGATTCTCCTCTTAAAAATTGTCTAATGTAAATTAATAAATGTATGTTTTAATTTTTTGATTATCGCTGGACATGTTTCTATGGATGTGTTTCGATATGCACTGCGTCACTGGTGAAAAATTCGTTCCGATATGGACTGCCAGTATACTGCCGCAGTACCCTAGGGAAATTTATGACGTCATAAATCGCCGATATTTTTGTACTGTGAGCACTTTCGCTTTCGAGGTAAGGTGCTCTCAGTAATTTGATCACGTGATCGAAAACGTAACAGCGTCTAGAGATTTAACAGCCTGCACAAATGTTGTTATTATTATTAATTAATATTATTATTAAAATAAATTCAGACATTAACCGATTCGTTGTGGCTTATGTTCCAAATATTTCATGACACGCCGGGCGTGTCAAGCGCGTTTTCTTTGAAATTGAGAGAAAGTGACTGTTTTATGAAGAGATTACAAACCTTTTGTACTATTTTTTGTTGTTATAAAAAATCATTTATATAAGTAGGTACAGCTAAATTTACCCTGGAAACCTTGGTTTTTATTAAATTAAATTTTCATCTAATAATAACATTTGTAAATATCGAAATATGAAGAAACTTAATTTGAAAAAAAAGAAGGTATATCATTCATTGATATTTACAGATGTTAAATATTATTTAATGTTATACAAATGTAAAAGTTTTCAAAAGGAAAAAACGCCAGCGTTATACGGCAGCGGATTGACAAAAGACTATTTATTAGCGAACTTTTTTATGCATGTACAGTTTCGAACTGTCTCAAGCAAAAATAAACCTTATACCATATCACAAGAGCACATGGTACTTCGTAGCCATATGATAGTAATAAGACGGCAGTTCAACCATTTTAAGCAAAATTAAACAAACAACAAGACTAACGCATTGTTTTTTTTTTAACAGGAGACTTGTTTTCCAGAAATTTATTTACAACTTGAGTTTGTGAGCGATCGCAATGAGTGCTATTATTTGTTACTTAGTAGACAATTTTTCCATAACATGATTTAAAACCCACAAAGTAAAAATAGTACCATGTAAACGTTAAAAAAAGGTTGTAAACCCCTAAAAATTTCAAATTTTCAAAATATCCAGAAACGAAGCTGCATGCATGAACTACTCGCAAA